AGATTCAGAGAAAAGGGGGGTGTCCCCCGTCCCCCCAAGTTCTGGAGGGTTCCTCACCACGCCACTGGGCCACGGGTTTCCCAGGCAGAGACTGCTGTTGGGGGGAGGGAGGGAGAGCTGAAGGCGGGGGGGGGCAGATAAAGGTGGGCTGGCCGTTGGGTGGGAAGGAGTGACGGTGGCAGGAAAAGGGGAGAGGGCGCGGGGGGGGGGTTTCAGGAACCGGAAAGGACTAGCGGTGGTGGTGGGGGAGTGAGATGCCTCCTGCAAGTCCTTGCAGGTTTCCATGCGTGTTCTTCCTCTCGCTCTTTGGAAAGAAATGGCTGAGGATGCAGAGGAAGCGGAAGGTGCAGCGGAGGCCCCGGAGTGTGTCCTCGAGCATGTAACGGAAGAGGGAGAGGGGCACAAGGACCGTCCGGAAGAACGGGACGAGCACGAGGCGGCAGAGGGAGCTGAGCCGATGGAGAGCCTCGGAGGAATGGAGAGCCCCCCTCCAGAAAGCGAGGGGATGGAAACTGGGACAAGCCTGGGGCTGACAAGCGACTCAGAGAGGTCCGAAGACGGGACCGAAGTGCGGGAGGCCGGAGAGGCTCCCGAGACAGGAGAGGCGGTGACACCCAAACAGGTGAGTCCGGGGGGGGGGGAGGGGGGGGACAAACTCAACGGGGCTGTTCTTGCTGGGCAAGACAATGAGAGTTGGAAGCAGTACCTAAGAGGACAAGCATAGGCTCAAGCAGGGGGGGGGGGTCTGCTACTTTTCTGCACTTTCCTAGTTTTTGTAATCCTAGTCCTATTGCATTGCTCATTAGATCTCTCGTGCTATGAGATTACATTGTTCTATGCCATGTTTGGGGAGCAGAGAGAACTGGCAAATGAATAATAAAGTGTGAATGAATGAATAATAAAGTAAATAAATAATGATGGGCGGACTACCACTGTACTAATCTGCCAGGCGTCTTCGGCCAGAGTGAAGATCAAGCAGCAGAAGGGATTGGAGGCGACTTCTAGAGGTGTATTCGGAGGGGTGGACCGGGAAAAACCCCCCACCTGAGCTCCACCTCCCCAGAGAAGGGAGGAAGAGTCTGCCTGGCCAGCCTCAAGCAGGAGGTACCCAGCCAAGGTGGGCAGCCAGGCAGGAAGAGGCCAAATGGGCCCTTCCCTCACCATTGCAGGCCCCCCTCCTCCCACCCCTCCGGCTGGCACTCGCCCTTCTCTTTGGGCTGGGGTGCCAGTAGCTTCGTACCACGAGCACTTTCTTTTCGCCTCCTCCTGGGAGCTCAGGGAAGTGTGCATGGGTCTCACCTGGCTGTTTGGTTTTCACAACAACCCATTGAGGTGGGTGGTGCCGAGAGTGGATCGAGTCCACCCACTGTAGCCTTCAAGTGGGAATTTGTGCTTGGCTGGATCCCCCCTAACCACGACACCCCACGGGCTCCCTGCAGGGAATGCGCCTCACCTCTTGGTTGGATGCCTCAGTTGGGTCACTCAGCGCCTGGAAATATCCATTTAGCAGCAGGCAGCCACCCCCTCCCTTCGCTTTCCTTTTCCTCTCTTTCTGCTTGCTCTTGGGCCCCTTCCTTCTCTGTGTTCCTGCCACTCAGTTTCCCCTGCATCTCCCCGGATGCCCGGCTCTTTGTGCAGTTCAGAAGTCCCAAGTGCCATGTTTTCTACCGCAGTGGACTTGCATCTTCTCATGGCATCCGTGTATCCTCAGTTTAGCATCCAGAGCATGTCACTGAAAAGCAGTAAAAGCCTGAAGTTACTCTGTCTGTGATGCTTGCTGCTGTTTGGGCACAAATGAAAGATTCAGGGCACGCGGGTGGCTGTAGAATGGCCAGGGTCCCTGGGGCTCCGCACAGCTCCTTCTCCGGCGGCGGAATGCCACGGAAGAAGTGGGCAGTGGGCCCGATGGTCTTCTGACTGGCCTGGGAGACAGGATGGGCGGGCCCACTGGGGGCGGCGCTGGTGCTGGAAGTCACAACGCGGCGGTTACATCTGGCTGGCCTCTTGAAGAAGATGTGGAGGAGGGGTGGAGAGAGGAGGCTTGAGGCCTGTCTTGGAGATGGGTGTTTGTGGGGCAGAACAGTGCCCTCTTCTGAAGAGCCTGAGTCCAGGGACCTGAACCACAGAGTGGGGACAGCCTGAAGGAGGGGGAGACACTCAGGGCACTGCAAGGAGTTTGGCTGGCATGCGTCCTCCTCAGGGCCGGCTCACCCACTAGGCCAACTAGGCATTCGCCTAGAGCGCTGGGCCCTGGATGGGGGCGTCGAAGTTCGCCTCCCCCCCCGCCAAAAGCCCGTGCCGATCTGGAGAGACCTGCTGGGCCCGTCTCTCCTCCCCGGGCGCTCCCCTTGGCCCTTGGACAACTCCTCCTCTCTTTCTTGTGCCACATCCGCCCGCTGCGTGTGGGTCAGCTGAGCAATGGAGACCACCACGGCCCCTCCTCCCCTCCCCTCCAGGTGGAAGTCTGCGCTCCGCGGAGGAGGCCGTCAGAAAGGGTCTTGGAGTGCTTCACGACCGCAAGTGGGAACACATACACGGTGTTTGAGCCTGCAGGGAAAAGGAAGACCAGGAGGTCTGAGAAATATTACGCCGGGAAGCTGAAAGAAGACCAGCTTCCTTCATACGTGGAGCAGGTGTACCTCTCCCAAACCTTCGATGAAAATGCAAGAAGACAGTGAGTCAGAATCCACTTTCTCTCTCTCTTTTTCTTTTGTCTGAAGAAGGGGCAAAGGAGCCATTGGACACACTAAGGACGGCGATTGAATTAGGCAGCTTTTTAAAAATGTCAGGTTTGGTCCCCGGGGAACCCCGTGTCTACCACTAAAAAAACCTAGTTCCACGCTGGGGATTATTAGGGAAGGGGCTGCAAATGAGACAGCCAGTAGTTCCGCGCTGCCGTTGTACCAATCTGTGGTGTGGCCGCGCTTGGGACTCTACGGCCAGATGTAGTCACTCGTCTCAAAAAAGAGTACCAAGCGGGGAGGCATGGCGAAGATCTGTGCAATGACGCGGGATAGGGAGGCAGTGGACCGAGGGGGGTCTTTCCCTTTTTCTCTTGTCAGGCTACAGCTTAACTAGCTGGGACCTCCTCAGCACCCACACCCTTTGGACACAACGAGAGGGGGGGGCATTGCCTTTGGCCGGGCTTCCAAGGGGGGGTGTGGACGGCCGCTGGACTAGATTGACCCTCCTCTGATCCAGCAGGGTTGCTCTGACAGTTCTAATGGCACTCAAATCTTTTAAGGAGTCCCTTTAGTTTTGCATCCCACTCTGTCACTGGGGGAGCTGCGGTGGCTCAAGGGGTTAAGACGCTGAACTGCAGGCTGTGGAAGGTCGGTCGTTAAGCAGTTCGAGACCCGAGTGTGCCGTATGACGGAGTGAGCTCCCGTCTCTTGTTCCACCTCCTGCCAACCTAGCAGTTCGAAAGCAAGAAATGGCAAGTAGATAAATAGGTACCACTTCGGTGGGAAGGGAACAGCGTCCCGTGCGCCTTGGTGTTTAGTCCTGCCGGCCACGTGACCACGGAAACGTCTTCGGACAGTGCTGGCTCTTCGGCTTGGAAATGGAGATGAGCACCGCAACCCTAGAGTTGGACTCGACTGGCTTTCGAGCAAGGGAGACCTTTACCTTTACCTTTACTGTCACTGGGGCTTTGGAGGTTCATGCAGATCCTTGTGATTTAAAAAGGAACAAAGACATGGATTTAATCTGAAACGGGAGAACGTTGACTGTTCTGAGTTTGAGCCGTTCTGAGTTTGGAACTGGCTGGAAATGATTCCTGGCTGGCTACAAAGAGCTCTGGCCTTTGGGTCAGGTGCTACTTTCAGGCTCCCATTTTGTGGCTTTCTGCCCACCTGCCTAGTACCTGCTCCGCCTGTGTGTTGTAAATAAGCGAATATTACAGGACACAGTTTAAAAACCCCACTACTCCCCTCGCTTCTCCAAAGGAAAACTCGGCACGCCTACCTGGGAGTTTTCCGATGGCTTTTCATTTCATCTTTTTGTGTGCTGGTGGTTTTGTTTGCAGAAAGTGGCAAGATCCGTGTGGCTCTATGCCAGGATCTCCATTTAAGTAAAGTTACATGACCGCAGGAATGACAGGGGGGTTGTGCAATGCTCCCTCTAAGCTGTGGAGTCTTGTGAGCAAAAATTCCAATTTGTGAGCTACTGGCATTAAAGTTGTGAGCGAGCGATTTGGGTACTGCATAAATTAGTTTGCTCTGGAGCCATCCCTTCCTGAGCTAAGACAAAAACGTGTAAGCCAGAGGCTAAAAAACTATGCCAGGATCTCCATTTAAGTAAAGTTACATGACCACAGGAATGACAGGGGTGTTGTGCAATGCTCCCTCTAAGCTGTGGAGTCTGGTGAGCAAAACTTCTACCTTCCTGAGCTAAGACAAAAACGTGTAAGCCAGAGGCTAAAAAACTATGCCAGGATCTCCATTTAAGTAAAGTTACATGACCACAAGAATGACAGGGGTGTTGTGCAATGCTCCCTCTAAGCTGTGGAGTCTGGTGAGCAAAACTTCTACTTTGTGAGCTGCTGGCATTAAAGTTGTGAGCAAGAGATTTGGCTACTGCATAAATTGGTTTGCTCTGGAGCCGTCCCTTCCTGAGCTAAGACAAAAACGTGTGAGCAGGAAGCTAAAAAACTGTGCGCTAGCTCACACTAACTCAGCTTAGAGGGAACACTGGTGTTGTGCTAGAGGCTTTGCGGAACCCCTTTGGAGGGAAGGTTTGCAGGAAGTGCAGCAGCTGGTGTCATGCAGGTGCCCTTTGAGTGGTCGCTGGAGACATAAGGGTCAGCCATGGAGGGAGGGAAGCCTCATCTGAAATGACACGTTATGATAAGCGTTTTTGGAAGGGCTGTTGCAATTTGACTCTTCAGTACATAATTCCCAAACGAACAGCTGTGAGATCATTAATTGATCAAAGGTTCCTTCAAGCCTAAAGCCCGCCCACCTGGGAGGCCTCTGACTACGTCTGTGTGTGATTTCTGCTCTGGTCCTGCCTCTGTTCAGTCGGGCTCATCTGCAGGTGAGTGATTCTGCTGCATCTCTTCATCGGCGGTAACCAGATACGTTAAACTCCAAAAATGGGCTGCGTCTCCGAGGTTCCCAAATACAAGATGCAGCCTGTTTTCGGAGTTTAGCCTATTTGTGAGATGCAGCCCGTTTTCGGAGTTTAAACATATTTGGTTACAGCAGCGCTCTCGCTCTGTTGTCCTTGGTTGTCTTTGCATCTCTTCATCAGGGCGTTCGGTGAGCCCCATGCAGAGAGGCACAGCAGAACTGCTTGCCTGTTGTGTCTCTGAATGAGTAGCTGCTGCTCCAGGCTCCCAGTCTAGGAGTCCCACTCAGAACAATAACTGTTGCAGAACAGTCCCTTTGAGCCGGGGTAAATCTTATAATTAACAGGAAAGGCTGTCTTGTGCCTGGGAGAAACACCACAGGCCATTTGATCCATAGGCCCCACACGTGTGGGTAACATGACATAACCCGAGAACCATAAAAGGAGGCGAGACGAAGCACCTGAGCGGCCATCTGTGCTTGAAAGCAAGGAAACGGATCCTCTCCTTCTCTCGTTGCTCCTCACAGAATCCGACTGCAGTTCTTTGAACACCTGGAGAAGTGGTTTGCCCAGACCTTGTCCGCCGCACGGGCAGTTATGGCCTCCAAGAAGGAGGAGCTGAGTTCGGAGCTGCAGCTGCGCATCCACCTGCACGAGCCGAGGCGGGGGCGTATCGAGAAGGACGTCTTCCAAGTCAGGCTGGGTACTCGTCTCTTCTTGGCTGTGTTGGGGAAAGGAGGCGCAAACCTCTGGAGATCGGGATCCTCAGATCGCCCGCAGGCTTGCCCTGGCACTGTTAAGACATCCCACTCACTGGTCCCACTTCCCTGACTGTGGGGGTGACAAGATGGTGAGCAGGAAGAGTCAGTCCAGAGGCCAGGGCCCCTTCGTTCAAGGGTCTTGCCCCGCACCCACAGGCATCCTCCGTGTGCCCCAGTCAGCCAAGGAGAAAATGCAGAACAGGTTGGACCATACACTGTAAGGACAAAAAAGAGAAAAGGGGAAAAAACTGAACCTAAAACCTAGAATTCAGAACCTAAAAAGGTTAGTCAAGAATAGAAGAGGGCCAACTCTAAAAATCTAATTATGAAACATACAAAAATATACATGTATTTATACAAACAGAACATGTTGGCTGATATGTAAAAATATATACAATCATACATCTACAAAATATGGAATAAAGACCAGAAAACAATTGTTCCGAAGTTTAGCCACTGGGCAAAGAAAAGAAATACAAAAATACAAATGAAGCCTCCAGTGCAATCACATGTCCAGTAGTACTTCTCTCTGGTCAACTATATATTCTCCTCTGAGGAAGGCCTGTAAAGGCCGAAATGCGTTAGGTCTATTTCATTAGCCCTTATATGTTTTTATATTTGTATATGAGGTATGAATGGGCCCTTGTTTGTTATTTTAATTTGTGTTGAATAAATACATGTATATTTTTGTATGTTTCATAATTAGATTTTTAGAGTTGGCCCTCTTCTATTCTTGACTAACCTTTTTAGGTTCTGGACCATGCACTGAACATGAGTCAGCAGTGTTATGTGGTAGCCAAAAAGGCAAATGCGATTTTGGGCTGTATCAACAGAAGTAGAGTGTCCAGATCACACAAAGTGATGGTATCACTTTACTCCACTCTGCTTAGACCTCACTTGGAGTACTGAGTTCATTTTTGAGCAGTGCAGTTTAAGAAGGATCTAGACAAGCTGGAACCTGTCCAGAGGAGGGCAACGAGGATGGTGAAGGGTCTGGGGACCAAGTCCTAGGATGAAAGGCTGGAGGAGCTGGGTGTGTTTAGCCTGGAAGGGAGATGACTTGAGAGGTGATAGGATCACCGTCTCCAAGTCCTTGAAGGGCTGTCATCTAGAGGATGGTGCAGAGTTGTTTTCCGTTGCCCCCGAAAGTCGGACCAGAACCAACGGGCTGAAATTAAATCAAGAGAGTTTTTGGCTAAATACTAGGAAGAACTTCCTGACAGTTAGAGCGGTAGCGGTTCCTCAGTGGAAACGGCTTCCTCGGGAAGCGGTGGGCTCTCCTTGTTTGGAGGTTTGCTTAAAAATGGCCATCTGGTTCTGTGGATTTAGGCAGATCATGAGAGGGGGGGCGGGAAGGGAGGAGTCAGGGCCGGGCTCTCCTGGCCCTTTCTCATATGGCCACGATAATGCCGATGGCCCCTTTGGGATTAGGGAGGAGTTTTCCTCCAGGCTCGATTGGCCCAGGCATTCTGGAGGTTCTTTGCCTTCCTCTGGGCATGGGGGGGGGGGTCACTGGGGGGGGAAGGTAGTTGTGAATTTCCTGCGTGGTGCAGGGAGTTGGACTAGAGGTCCCTTGAGGTCCCTTCCAGCTCTGTGTTTCTGTGTGGAAGAGGAGTCTTGTGAGTGGCACGCACCACTTCCTGCGTTGCCCCCAGTACAGCAGGCACCCTGGGTCCCACCACCGGCAGGATTCTCCTGGCAGGAGGTAAAGAGTGACACGCCCCCAAGGTGCTGAACCACAGAGCTGCCGTGCGGTCAGATTCGTCCTCCGGCAGGCATAGTGCGTCAGTGCCCATTCTGGGAATTTAAAGTCAAGTCTAGTAACACCTTAGCAAACCACAAGATTCGGGGGTGGGGTATACACTTTCAAGATTCAAAGCTCCCTTCATTTAGTACCCCCAAAGCGATCTTCTGGGGATTTCATCAGCCTGGTTTCCGAGGGGTGATACGAGGGGAGGGAGTGAAATGTTTTGTCTCCCTCCGTTCAGATCTTGACGTAGTCCCTGGGTGGCCGTGGGCCAGGAGCCTTTCCACAACCAAGGCCAGTTCACAGGCCGGGCTGCTAACAGCCTGGAGAGGAAGAAATGTCCTGCCTCTGTTAACAGAGGCTTAATGTGTGGCAGTGAGCCAGTGGCACTTCTCGTGGCATGGAGGTAAACAACATCACCTGGCCAATAACGCCCTGTCATGCCTCTGTTGCAGGGGCAGGACTATTTTTCTCCAGGCTGGTGACGACCCTGTTCGTGGGTGTTTTGAAGAAGAAGGGGTGGGTGGGTGTACACCTCCCAGAGCCGCTTGGAAGAAGGGGAGGGTGAAGCCTGAAGCGGTTTTCTCTCTCTCTCTCTCTCTCTCTGTCTGTCTGTCTCTGTCTCTCTCCCAGTGGAACTGCAGCTCCACAATGACCGTCTGGCACGCCACTGCGCTGGGGTGGTGGAGGCTTTGAACCAAGAGAAAACTGCCTTTCAGAAGCTTCAAGAAGGCCAGAACACACTCAGCAAAAACTTCCGAAAGAGGATCCAAGACATGGAAGACATCTTCCTGAGAGAGAGCAGGGCAGAAAAGTCAGTGGGCTTCCCGCGGGATTCCCTGACCCTGGGGGCACGAGGCCTGTCCTCGGGAACGTTGAGTGGGGGCTGGGGAAGGGGGGGGTGTCACTTCGCTTCGTCTCCCTTGTGCTTCTGTAGCGATGGGCGTAGCCCTGTCCTGAAAGCTGAGTGGCTCCGGGGTGTGTGTGTGTGTCCCTGCAGCCTGCCCGGTGGGCGCTGGGGGGCTTGCCCAGCCTGTTCTTCCCCTGCCCCCCTCCCCTCGTCCTTAGGCTGATGGCCCTCAGCAACAACTTGCACACGGAGCTGCTCAACCACATGGAAGTGATGCAGGTCTCCCTGCGGAGCTACAGGCAGTACCTGGAAGAGGCGCTCGGGAAGCTGCGGGAAGCAAACACCGACTTCCTGAAGGCCTGCAGGTAGGCCCGCCCGGCTGTTCCGCAGAAGAAGGGCCCGCTCTCCCTCTGCAGCTCTTCCGCCCTCCCTTTTCTTCTGGCTGCTCAGTCGCGGTGTCAGTATTTTATTTGCTTATTAGGTTTGCTAGGCCGCCCTTCCCCTACCAGTAGGGCCGAGGGCGGCTGACAACGTGGAATATGCAATTTATGCAATACACAACTTCTTATCCGTCCTCTTGGCTGGGATCTGAGTCTCCCCTTGTCTCCAGGAAGCCTCTTCCGACTTAACTGGTTTGAGGGCCAAACGACATGTTACATTCCGGGGCCCGGCTTCCTTTCCTTGCAGTCATGCAGCAGCGGCTAGGAGAGGCATTTATTAAAGTCCCTGAAAAGTACGCAGACGAAGAGTGATTTCAGCAAAGCGTACTTTATTTGATCAGGAACAAGACGACTTTGGCCGGCTTGCAGGCCGGCTTATATCCCCCGAGAAACTGCCACCCAAAACACACCCCTACTTCCCAATAGGTTATTTACAGTGGCTGAGAGTCCCATAGGCTCTCGGCCGGGAACCTAGCCCCCTGATTGTCTCTTGGAGCGAAGCTCGACGTTAGTCTCTGGACTTGTCTGGACTGGATACATTACAGTCCCAGCGAGTCGGGAGCAGCTGGCGCATCCAAGGTCAGAAAAGCAAAGGAAGATAAAACTCAGGAGACTTTGTTTGTGTACCGGGCAGAGGCTAGGAGGATCCCCCACACACACACATTCCAGAGAGTGGCAGTGTTACCTGACAGTGGCACAGCCCACGGGAGTCGGTAGGCTCAGCAGCCCTGTGGTGGGGAATGTCTCCAGGTCCCCAGGACTTGCCGCATCCGGAGGATCAGGCAAGTGAGCAGGCAGTTTCCATGTGACTAGGTAGCCCTGGAGAGCCAGGCCAGTGAGGTGGGGCTGCCAGTGTAACGTCCTGGATCACACCGACCTCCTGTGTGCCAGAGCAACTTTGCAAGTTTAAAACAAGAAACTCTGGCTTTGTTTCCGTATGGCATATGGGATGGCTGTACCTTTGCTCTCTTCCCCCGCCCCATTTTCAGATTATTCTCGGAAGGGGGCAACTTCTGCCCCGAAGAGCTGGATCACTTTGTCAAAAGCCTGCAGAAGGAGACGGGGCGCATTGACTTTGTGGAAGGCCTGATCATGATCGACATGGAGAAGATGGAGTCCAGCCACTTGGAGCAGGTGAGCGGCCGCCTCCTGCCTCTCTGTTGCGAACGCCCGGGGGAGTCGAGTTGGGGGAAAGCAAGAGGAATGCAAAACCGGTCTGCGGTTTCTCGCCCCCAAGGCTATCGAGATCACCAGCAAGTTTGAAAATAGGTTCCGTTACCTAGCAGTGGATCGAGTCTTCATGGAGAAAATCCAGCGGTTTATGACCAACCTGCAAGTGAAAATCAAGCTGGAGGTACTGGCGGGCGGGCAGGGGGGAGAGCCTTTTCGTGTTCTTTCTCACCACTCACTGTGGGCGTTTTGGAGACCAAGGTTCAAAGGCAAAGGTGCCCATTACAGTGCAGGTTCCCTCACTTCATATCTGTCTGGGGATGGTGACGGCTTGTGGGTGAGCGACGGGGGAGTGTTGCTGTCTGACCCCTGCAAATGCCCCCCACCCACGGGCGATGAGGCTGAAAGGAGCACCACTGCGGCTGGCAGGTCAGCGGTGGAGATGAGTGGGTTTGTTGGGGAGAATTAGGGGGCGCCTTCCCCCTGCCCACCTGCTGGCTCCATCCTGCAGATCTCCTGCATTCACATCAACCTGCAGGCATTTGTTGGGTGGGATTGCTAATTCTGAAGGAGACAGAGTCAGGATTCAGAATGATCTAGATAGGCTGGAACAGTGGGCGGAGACAAATAAAATGAATTTCAGTAGAGAGAAGTGCAAAGTCCTACACTTAGGGATAAAAAAATCAAAGGCACCGATATAGACTGGGAGGGGACAGCAGCACCTGTGAAAGGGATCTGGGTGTTCTGGTTGATCACAAGCTAAACATGAGCCTGCAGTGCGATGTGGCTGTGAAGAAAGCTAATGCAAACTTTGGATGCATTAACAGAAGCATTGTGTCCAGATCACGGGAGGTGGTAGTTCCGCTCTGTTCTGCTATGGTCAGGCCTCACCTTGGAGTCCTGCGTCCAGTTTTGGGCACCACATTTTAGGAAGGATGCTGTAACGATTTCATGTTTATGTGTGTGTGTGTGTCTTTAAAAGTTTAGTTTGCATGGCTGTGATATTCTAGAGTGCTGGAAGCAGGCAAGTGGTATGATTGGTGAATGACAGAGAGGGGGAGGGGTTTTGGAATGGATGCTGTGTGGATGATTTGAATGTCTATCAGGAGTGACTGTTGGAGAAATGACAGTTAAGGTTTAACAGTTAAACAGTTAGTCAGAAGAGTGTGTACTGTGTAAAAGCAGTTGATATGAGTTTTGTCCTGAGGTCTCTGTGTGAGAAGTTTTCCTGTGGGAAATATAAGAGTAAAAGTCTCTGTGTTAAGCAGACAGTTAAGTTCTGTCTCTGGGTTGAAGGAGACTCATCCCTGTGAGGGAAAGATTTGGTTCTGTGTAGTAAAAGAGTTACCGGTAAGCAGTTTTTTCGTTTTAAGGTCTGAGAGAGAGAAGTCTTGTGTGTGTTATGAAAAGTTAAAGCATAAAGAAACAGTAACCATATATGGCCTAAGGAAAATATTGTTACTAAGTGACATGCCCTGATCCCTGTCAATAAGAGGGAAGAGTGTGTGAACATCAAATAAATCTACTTTTATTTAAGATATAAGTTCTGAACGAAATTCTTCCCAGGAAACACATAGTCCTTCAAAAGCCCAGACCCTGGGTCACAATACCAAAACCCTAAGAAGAAATATATTAGTATAAAGGTGTGGAAAGCCTTAAAATATTCCTGGTGGCAGCTGGATACCCATAGAAAAATAAAACATAAGAACACGTTTAAAGTAAAACCAGACCTCCCCAGAGTAGAGGTCGTCACAGATGCTGACAAGCTCGAGCGTGTCCAGAAGAGGGCAACCAGGATTGGGAGAGGGTTGGAATCCAAGTCTTATGAGGAAAGGCTGAAAGAGTTGGGTCTGTTTAGCCTGGGAAAGACAAGGCTTAGAGGGGACATGATGGCAGTCTTCAAGTATTTGAAGGGCTGTCATGTAGAAGATGGAGCAGATCTCTTCTCTCTTGCTCCGGATTGCAAGACTAGATCTAATGGGTGGAAATTACAAGGGAGTCGATACCGGCTAAATATCAGGAGAGACTTCCTAACTGTAAGAGTGGTTGAGCAGTGGGACAGACTGCCTCCGGAGGTGGTGGATGCTCCTTCACTGGGTGTTTTCAAGCGGAGGCTGGACGACCATCTTTTGGGTCTGTTGTAGGGCCGTCTTTCGGCTCTGCTCCTGCAGAGTGCAGGGGGTTGGACTAGATGACCTGCAAGATCCCTTCCCACTCTCACATTCTGTGATTCTGTGCGCATTTGCGAGGGGACTCCAAAGTTCTGCCTGCAGCGGACCAACAATCCCTCTTACTGGTATCTGCTGGGGCAGCCCTTCTCCATGCATATTCTGGGGTCTGTTGGCTTCCAGTGAGGTCTTGATCCCCTTGCGTTTTTTTTTTCCTTTCTAGGTGGCAAAATCGAATTTTCAGTCTCAGACGTTGAGCTCCCATTTAGAGACGCTCCTTAGCAGGATTGACGCCTGTGCCCACCCCAATGTGGATAAAGAGGTAAGTTCCCGTTCCCAGGAAGCACTGCCTGAGGACACGCCTTCGTGAGGACGGGCGGATGCAAAGGAGCAGAGTTGCCTCCAGGTTCGGTACGCCTCTCTGTTCCCCTGTGAGGAAAAGGCTGAAGACTTTAGATAGGGTGTTCAAGAATCACACAACACACTGATTTCTTTGAAGCTGCAGATCAGCTCTGTCTGTCTCTCTCTCTGTACCAGGACTGTCCCTGTTCATCTCCCTGTTCTTCTGACAGGCTGTCTCTCAGCAGCATTTTTATTAACAGAAAGAAAAGTAAGCTCATTCATTCGTACATTTGTTACAACAGAGCAAAAGACTTTGTAAGCTAGAAAAATACAGTGTAGTTCACAGAATGTTCCTTTACAGGCAAGATAATCTTTGAATGTTGCAAAAGCTTGTATGCTCTCAGTAATTCATTGTTATAAGAGGAATTTAGCAGTCTCGTGCAAAAACAGAAAACCTTGTTTCCTGCTTGCCAATTCTCCCGGCAGAGTAGTGTCTGTGGGAATTCGTACTTTGACTTGGGAAGTCTGAACTTTGACCCCGGGTGTGCCACGCTGGATTTCCATTCAGACCCCACAAAAGGCGCTCTGGAATGCTGTGCTGGAGCCTGTCCCGTGCCGGGGTGGTGGCCCCCGGATTTCTGGGGAACGTCCACAGGACCCCAGACGCATTCTGAGCACGGTTTATGGTGCTTTGGGGGGCTTTCTCCTTGAACCTGGAATAAAAAATGGTTCGAAGGGGGAACCGTGGGGGTGACTCTGGATGGCGTCACCCTACAGTTGATGCCGCAAAAGGTAAAGCAAAGGGTCGTCGTCTCCCCCTTTTTTAACGTTTTACTCTTGGCTCCTATTTCTCAAGCAGTTTCTTTATCAAGCAAAGCAAACAATTGGGAGAGTAGCCTCCCTGCTCTTGTATGCAAGGATGGTGGCAGTGTCGGAGCTTTTGTGAGTCACTGCTCACTTCTTCGGAAACTCTGAAGAGGCTCCTGCCCTACCCAAAATTTAGGAGCTTTGGTGGCTCAAGTGGTTAAGACGCTGAACTGCAGGCTGTGGAAGGTCAGTAGTTCAGCAGTTCAAGACCCGAGTGTGCCGCATGACGGAGGGAGCTCCCGTCTCTAGTTCCAGCTCCTGCCAACCTAGCAGTTCGGAAGCAAGAAATTGCAAGTAGATAAATAGGTACCACTTCAGTGGGAACAGCGTCCCGTGCGCCTTGGTGTTTAGTCCTGCCGGCCACGTGACCACGGAAACGTCTTCGGACCGTGCTGGCTCTTCGGCTTGGAAATGGAGATGAGCACCGCAACCCTAGAGTCGGATTCGACTGGCTTTCGAGCAAAGGAGACCTTTACCTTTACCTTAAGGTGCTACTGGACTTGAGTTACAGACAGACTAACATGGCCACCCATCTAGAAAAATAAAGTGTTATTTCAGACAATATGTAACAGCGTTGTAGAATTTGTTTTCTGCAAAACAAGTTGGCAGCTTCGATGACTTTAAGACAGTCGATACATTCATGGATTAAACAGTCATTAACTGAAATGGAGCCTCCGTGTTCAGGTGCAGTGGACTCAGTTTTAGTGGTTATAGTGGCAGACTAGGCTCTCAGAGACCCAAGGTTCGAATCCCCGCTCAAGTCAGAGCTGCATGTTGCTCCTAGCACATGATTGCAATGGGGACCTTGTAGCAGGATGAGTTCAGTTTAGCAGTTTAATGCAGGAGCACTGCAAGGACCTGGTTCAGATCAGGGCGGTGGCACAAAAGGGGCTACGGCCACCATCTCGCACCGTTTCCTGACACGAGCCATCGCAAGGGGGGAGGGAAGTATTTTTGGCCCCTCGTAGGGCTGCACATATGGACACTAATTAATTAATTTATGCCCTGGCTTTCTCCCCAGGGAGGATGCAAAATGGCTTACATCCCTCTCCTCTCCTCCATTTTATCCTCACAACAACCCTGTGAGGTAGGTTAGGCTGAGAGTTTGTAACTGACCTAAGCAGAAGAAGAGTTGGGTTTATACCCAGCCCTTCACTTGGAGTCTCAGAGCGGCTTACAATCTCCTTCCCTCCCTCTCCCTACAACAGACATCCTGTGAGGTCGGTGGGGCTGAGAGAGCCCTGAGAAAACAACTTTTGATAGAACAGCTTTGAGAGAAGTGCGATTGACACAAGGTCGCCCAGCTGGCTGCATGTGGAGGAGGAGGAGGTGGGGAATCAAGCCCAGTTCTCCAGATTAGAGTCTGCCACTCTTAACCACGACACCAAACTGGCTCCCAGGCGAGCTTCCATGGCACAATTTGGTCTTAAAGGTGCCCCTGGCCTCAAACTTTGTTGAATAACTAAATGTTTGAGATGAACTTGCGTACATGTCTTCCCAGGTGCACATTGTCAGAATCCTGGTTGAATCAGTTCTCAGCACCACTCACTTTGAAAAAAAGTTTAGCTTATTGAGACATTGAAGAATACCATATTGAACACAAGGTTTGTTAGGACTGAAGGTGAAAGGACAGGGATTGCAGCTATATTGTGTTCAAGCAGAGACACTAAAGATCAGGACCCAATCAGCCCACGGCATTTAAGAACATTAAGAGACGCCAATGTTGGATCAGGCCAAAGGCCCATCCAGTCCAACACTCTGAGTCACACAGTGGCCAGAAATACCAGTGCCATCAGGAGGTCCACCAGTGGGGCCAGGACATTAGAAGCCCTCCCACTGTTGACCCCCCCCCCCCAAGCACCAAGAAGACAGAGCACCACTTGCCCCAGAGTCCCTATCTATACCTTGTGGCTAATAGCCACTGATGGACCTCTGCTCCATATGCTTATCTAATTCCCTTTTGAAGCCGTCCATGCTTGTAGCTGCCACCCCTTCCTGTGGCAGAAACAACGGTCAACTACCTCCCCCCCCCCCACTAAGCAGGTACCCCTCTATAAAGCAGAACAAGAGGTCTCTGCGGACACATCAAAGCCTTTAGGAAAATGAAAGCATTTGGTTTCACACCCCTCTTCTCCCCCTCCTTCCTCTATGGCAGGAGAACTATAAAATGCACATGCCTTGGTGACTCCTGTTGGAAAGAGGATGCTGGACAAGGTGGGCTTCTGTTCTGACCCCGGAGAGCCCTTCTCATGGGACGTTCTTAGTGATGGGGCAGAGTAGAATGAGAAAAGGGTGCCGAGTTCTGAGGAAATCTGCTCACCTTTGTTCTTTTTTTCTCAGCCCATCACTTCCAAAGAGCTGTATGAGTTTGCCAAGTTTGTGATGGAGAAACTGAAGGAGAGAAGCAAATATCTCAACTGCTTGCTGGGACAGGTAAAGGCTCCTCCTCTGTCAGAATGCCGGTACTGTCACTGATGTCGCACCAAGGGTCGGCTCTGCACTTCACAGAGCAGCAGAAACAAAAAGGGAAACCCACCTCTGCCCCCAAGGAGCTTTCAGTCTCTAAACATTGTCAGAAAGTGAAAAGTACGCAGACAGAGAGTGATTTCAGCAAAGCGTACTTTATTCGATCAGGAACAAGACGACTTTGGCCAGCTCGCAGGCCAGCTTATATTCCCCGAGAAACCGCCACCCAAAATACACCCCCCCCCTTCCCAATAGGTCATTTACAGTGGCCGAGAGTCCCATTGGCTCTCACTCAGGAACCCAGCCCCCTGATTGGAGCGGGCTAGGATCCGCATAGTCCATTGTCTCTTGGAGCAAAGCTCAACGTTTGTCTCTGGACTTGTCTGGACTTGTCAGGACTGGATACATTACAGAAAGGGAGGTTGCAGAGGAGGCGAGGAAGGAGAAAGGTGGTGTATAAGGGCAGGTCTTGGGCTGTGTGGAACTAGCTTTGGAGTAAATATGCACTGGGTTCGCTCACGAGCAGTGTTCCCTCTAAGCTGAGTTAGTGTGAACTAGCTCATAGTTTTTTAGACTCCGGCTCACACATTTTTGTCTCCGCTCAGGAAGGATGGCTCCAGAGCAAACTGATTTGTCCAGTAGCCAAATCACTCACTCACAACTTTAATGCCAGTAGCTCACAAAGTAGAATGTTTGCATACAAGACTCCGCAGTTCCGAGAGCGCATTGCCCACAAGGCTTGTTCGCTGAACACTTTGGACACTAGCACTGAAAGGCCAAACCTCTGCAGGTTAAAACTCCCCCGTCTTTGCGCATTTCCTAAAGCTGGTGCTTACTTGCTTGTGCTTGGGGGTCTGTTCATCTGTGTCTGGTCAGCCGCACCGAGGTCTAGAGGGCCTCAGAGCCTTGGGACCAAACTGGTGCATGGCGGTGGGGGGGAGGGGGGGCTGCTCTGGGCACATGCCAAAGGGAGAGGGGGTGTCGCTGAATTCTTTCCTCTTTCCTTCCTCCAGCTACTTTCCCCTTTGCTGAATTCGCCATCCACTCTTTTAAAAAAATAATTGTCCCGCCGCGGGCTCCTCTGCGGCCTCACGGGCTGCTGCGGCGGGACTGGCGCCATATGCGCCGAGCCCTCGACGCCCCTCAGAAGACAGAACCCCGTTCAGGAGGAGAACCCAAAGGATCACAGGGAGGCGGGACTAGACTGGAGACACCCCATAGGGAAGGTGGAGGGGGTTGAGTGACAGGTCAGGGAAGCGGTGGTGGTGCTGGGGAAAGAAAAGGGAGGAGTCACCAGGGGAGAGGGGAAGATAAAAGGAGGGAAACCAAGAGAGTCGGGGAGGATGTCGGCGGTGACTGTCTGGAGACCAAGAGAGAGGGAGATAGCGGATGTTGACCCCGAGGAAGGGAGTGCTGAGAGCAATGCTCCCTCTAAGCTATGGAGTCCTGTGAGCAAAAATTGTACTTTGTGAGCTACTGGCATTAAAGTTGTGAGTGAGCGATTTGGCTACTGCATAAATTAGTTTGCTCTGGAGCCCTCCTTCCTGAGCTAAGACAAAAATCTGTGAGCCTGAGGCTAAAAAACTGTGAGCTAGCTCACGCTAACTCAGCTTAGAGGGAACACTGGCCGGGAGGGCTGAAACTCCAGAATCCTTCCAGGTCTGAGGCTCTCGTTTCCCTCCTGAGTCTTCTATCACCACGGCAAGTGTTCCTCCGAGGCCTGGGGATACCCCAGGGGCGCAACAGTAATCCTGAAGGGAAAGAGGCTGCAAGCAAGGGAAATATTTGGCAGACTTCACATCTGACCCCTTTTACTCCTGAAGTCCAGGCATGCTTCCCAGACAGTCTTCCCCTGAAATGTTCCCGAAAGTGCTGACCGGTATTGGGGGGGGGGGGGCTTCCCTGTCTGCAGTGGCTCCCCCCCCCCATTGCCTTGCTGAGGGATGGGATGGAGTCGCAGCCTCTGATGTTCTCCCTGGAATTGGGGGGCCATCTCTTTCAGTGTTTCTCTGTTGACCCTGTGCCTGTTGACTAAAACAGAAATCAAACGAACTCACTGTGTTGCTGAAATTGAACCACCGCATTAGAAATGCTCTACCTTTAAAGTTTTTTTTTTTTAATACTGTGTGGTGCTCTGCTCATGCACACTTTGCCACAGTTCCCAGTTCCACCAGTTCAGGTGCATCTTTCCCAGCTTGGCCCTGCTGTGGTCAGTGTGCACGCTGATACTACATTGTGATCAAGTGATTTGGATGTGGTGGGGTAGACAGTGGTATCCAGGTTCCCTTTGAGCGATGTTCTGCCAATGTGCAGGAGCACAAGTGCGCACCAGCAAAACACTGCATCATCCCAACGAAGGTGTGTGTGTGTGTGGGGGGGGGTTTGGTGGTGTTTCGTCTTCACAGAAGGGGGAGGTGGGGAAGGGCAAAAGGAACTGAAAGCTCCAACAGCTAGTGTGTGATTCAGTGCCAGAATTAATATCAGAAATGTTCCTAGCAAAACCAGAATTATGTGTTGGAAGGAATGGGTTTGCGGTCATCATGTTTAGTCTGCGCTTCAGAAGCCTCCCCTGGCCCACCAAGGGAGGTAGCTCAGTGGCGGAGCCCCTGCTTGGCATGCAGAAGGTCCCAAGTTCAATCCCCGGCAGCATCTCCAGTTAAAAGGACCTGGCAGGAGGTGATGTGAAAGACCCCAGCCTGAGACCGCGGGGAGCCACTGCCAGTCTGAGCAGAGAGTGTTGACCTTGACACGTGCCATGTTGTCTGAATCCGTCTAAGGCAGATTCACGTGTGTACCCGCCACTGACCTCTCATGTTGAGTTGGAATTGAGCCCCATCCGTGTTCCCCGGTGGGGCCAGGAGGGCCAGGAGCCAGGTGTGGCCTGACCTCCACCCTGTGTCAGCCCCCTGCCCTCCTCGCTTTGCGAGCAACCTTATGCTACCGTCTTGACTGGTGTAGGGGGAAAGGCACGTTTTTGTCTTCCCCCATCATTTTGGGTCAAGCACTGAAACGGGTGAGCAGTCGATTCGGGACTGACTCAAGCGTGTCTTCACATGCCACGTAAAATTTGGGGAATTGGCTGCCCCAAGGTGTGGCGAAACCCACTGGATGTAAGAGCCCGTCGGAGGACAGAATCAGATCCCTCCAGGGGCCGGAGGACGGCCAACTGCTGCCAGCCATGACGTTTCTTCATGTACCTGGGGGGTGTTTCTGCCACCTGCCCAAGGCTGCTGACAAAATAACATATTAAAACGTAACGTTAAAAGTTACAAATCAAACCCAGCCTTTAAAAAAAAAAATCAGAGAATAAAACATGGATAATTGAACATCTTAAAATGAAATTAACAGTGCTCAGGCTAAAAGCACACTATTAACTGATTTTAAGAGCCCGACCTTTAATTAAAAGTCTGGGCAAGCAGAAGCATTCTGGCCTGGCACCTAAAAGAATGCAACGTCAGCGCCAGGGGGAGAGCATTCCAGAGGCAAGGTGCCACCACAGAAAAAGCTCCATCTCTGGTTGCCACCTGCCTCACCTCTGAAGGCAGGGAGCACAGCGAGCAGGGCTCGGGGTACCCAGCTCAACTGGCCGAGCGGATAATACGGCAGCTGAACGGAGCCTCCGTGCTCACCGACGGTGCGGGGGGGGGGCACCTTTGGAGGAGATCAGTGGCCATCATGCCCTGCTGGAGAGCTTCCCAGAAACACCTGGCCAGCTAGAAGCTTACCTCGGTGGCTCTTTGGCATGATGCAGCAGGGCTCTTCTTGTGCTGTGCGTTTTGCCCCCATGTGTAGGACTTTGCATTGGCTCTGCCAGATCCCCCTACTCAAAGCTCTACGGAGCCCACGAGCCAGTCGGGCAGTTTCCAGCAGGACAGCAAGGTAACCGTGATGGGCGTTGAACGCACACCGTTGATGACTCCGAGCAGGATGGGGAAGACAGTCTTTGATGACGCAGCCATTGGTGTGGTCAAGCATCTCACTGGGTAAGCAGAGGCCGGCAGGGCCACCCCGGGGTCTTGAAAGAGGTGGGGGCCGGGAGTGCCAGTCAAACAGTCCCCAAGCCGAGGGAGCGGGGTGAGAGGCAGGTTCGTGAACAGCTGGCTAGGCTTGCAACCGTTGCGGAGAATGGTGCTGAGTTAGCCATGAGGATGTTGGGAAGTGGAGGCCAGTGGAGGCCAGGTAGATGCAAGAGAGTGCATGCTGAAGAACAAGGAAGAATGCAGTGGGGAGGAGTCTGGGGCCAGAGGCAGGAGCCTCCGGGCTAGCCGGGCCAGTTCCCTGAGACCCGTGTTCTGCAACCTTAGAGTCCTAAGAAGGAAAGAGGATTGTGTCTCATTCGCTACAAGATGGGGGGGTAGGCAGGATGAATTGGCCAGGCCTGATGCAAATGCAGGGAGCTCAGCGGCCTGGTCTTGGCTGGTTGGCAGAGCAGGGCCGTCCACTTGCTGCTTTCTAGCCCTGGCCGGCAGGGACCTCAGTGCAGAGGACGCCAGGGCTCTCCAAGGCGGTGGAAGCACCTCCGGGCCCTTCCCTCCTTCCCGGCATGAGAGCCGTGGGGTGGAAACAGCCCCGTGTTCCCAGAGTCAGTCCACGTGGGCCCACCGTTCACAAGATGGCAGCCCACATGTGTTGTTGCCGCTTTGTGGAGTCACAAGTCCTCGCCCATGGAAACTCCCTCAAGAACTTCACACACGTGCCTACTTCATTTCAGAATGCAGCGTTCCAAAAGAACCGCAGACCAGCAGCAGCAGCATGAAAAAGAAGACCGTGTGCCGTTGGGAACAGGAGGTGTTCCAGCAGGCGCTGGCGTCGGAGGAGGTCTGTTTCGCTAGCCACTGGTTCGGCATTGACTAGTCGTCCAGTGCCTTAGGACAAGAGATTCCTTGTTGCAGTTCATTTTATTCTCTCTTGGTTGGGTTGGATTTGCCTTTCTTCCTCATTTGTTCCTCTGCAACTTTGGCAGTTTTTTTGTACATAGATACATCTAAAGAGTAGTGGGTGGGTGTGCGTGGGTGTGTATGGTGACTCTCTGAGTTAATGACATCCAAAATGTCCTACAGTCTTGCTCAGGTCTTGCAAACTGAAGGGTGTGACTTCCTTTACTGAGTTAATCTATCTCATCTTGGGTCTTCCTCTTTTCCTGCTGTCTTCTCCTTTGCTTAGCATCATTGTCTTTTGCAGTGAGTCGTGAAAACTGGCATTTTTTTGATTCAGATACCAGGAAGCGGGAAAGTATCGGTATTTCCAGTTTCCTGGATTCCAATTACCAGTTTGGCATTTGGATCCATTTTTGTTGTTGTTGTTATTCCAGTGTTATTTGGCTCCATTATTCCCTATGGGAAATTTTCCAGAGGGCTGAAGGGGCCGCTTTTGAAGCAAATCACACCAAAATTGCAGGGGGGGGGGGCTGCTGGTGCCTGTCCTTTAAATCAACCCCACATTTCAAGTGAGCCCCATTGTTTGCTTTTGGAGGGGGATTCCGTGCTTTCTCCAAGGCAAAGAATAGCCAAAGGCACAAGAGCAAGCAAAGCAACCCCTGGCCAAAAGCCTCTCAAAGAAGGCAGAGCCAACAAGCCCCAAGAACTAATGCAGAACCAGGGAATCCCAGCAGAACCACCACACCGTGTGGAAAGCCTAACACAACAAATGTACAGCTTGAGAATCCCACCCAATGTCAAACCAGAGAACCATCCAAGCCAACCAAGACTGCCGTGCAAACACAAGAAGTGTAACATCGGAGAATCTGAGGCAACAGACAGTCCAAAAGGGAGGGTCATGTCAAACCCAAGAATTAACCGCAAAAGGCAAACCCAACGCAAAGCAACTCACACAAAGAATCCAGTGTTGCAAGACCAATAAAACCAATTTAAAAGGGCAGAATCAAAGTGAAAACAACATAGCAAGTTGATAGGAAGCCCCAGGAAGACACAGACACACATAGGAGAAACAAAGAATAAAGCCAACCTGGGAGCCTTAGAACTCCGGCTCTCTATATTTCTGGCTAATCCCAAATATTTGCAGGATCTTTGGGATCCATTTCTTGTATCCCAGATTCCACTCAGAGATCCAAAGATACCCAGACTATACCAATAAGGTAGTTTTCAGATATTTATTCAGACCAGATATATCCAACTGCACGTACCTAACAGTAGCCTCAGTTTAGTCATTTTAGCTTTAATATTTTATTTATTTATTTTATTTATTTATTATTGAGATTTATATCCCGCCCCATCCAGTAATTCAGCTCGGGGCGGCTTACAAAGGTTAAAATATAAATACAACAGCAGCATAATAAACAATATATCTGATATAAAATTTGGTGCTAAAATTATTTACATAAAATCCAAGATGGACGACGTCCCACACTGGCGGCCAAGTTCTTCGTAGCAGGAGCTCCAGGAAGAGTGTTTTCCAGATCTATTGGGCGGCAAC